CAAAATTGAACTTAGGGCGGGAAAGCGGCTTCATACATTCTGCAAAGTTGTAGTGTGGGCATGCCCTCCTTCACAAAGTGTCAGCAGCCCGTGGATTGCGCCGTGCCTCCCTGGCAGGGCACGAAAACAACAAAAAAAGAAACAAAACGAAAACACATGCAACGAAAACTTGAAACTGGTCACAATCATAGTTAGATACTTCCTTGTGAGTATCGGTGTGAGCACAACTTCGTGCACGCCCTTCTCAGACTTGGTTTTTTGTTTTTCTTTTTGCTTTTCGAGCGGGCCCACAAGGCCCAACTGCCGAGCTTCCAGAGACTCCCGAAAAGTTCGAAAAAAGTGGGAAAACAACTAGTTTTCTCATTTTCCCAAAAGTGACAGAGGTAGTGGTGGTTTAAGCTATCATAGTCATCATATGACTCATCAGATATTTGCAACCATAAGTATCGAGTAACATGGTTACAACATGGTTACCTAGTGACGGTTACAACACACATACATGGTGGTCAAACTTTATAGCACCAAGGTAGTTGTTTTTTGGTAAGGTCGCTGACTAGAAAGGGAGGACGGTCGTTGCAACCCCCCAAAAAGTTAGGAAAAAATAAGAAAATAACCAGTTTTCTCATTTTTTCATTAGTGACAGAAATAGTGATGATTTTATCATAGTCATCACAGGACTCATCATATACTTGCAACCATAAGTATCAAGTATTATGGTTATAGCATGGTTACCTAGTGACGATGAGAGCACACACACATGGTGGTCAAACTCTATAGCGTTGAGGTTACTGTTTTTTGCTAAGGTTGCTGACTAAAAAGTAAGGAGGGTTGTTGTTGTCATTTTCGTTGTGGATTGTGGTCTCTAATGAACGTAAGTGGTATAATCAAATCATTAGGTGAACGATGTCATCAGTTTAGCAGATTCAAGTGTTACTATTGCAAGTTCTTTATTTTGGCCTATTTTTCTTCACTATGGTGGTCGTGCTGTTATTTTTAAGCAAGTTTGTGTCACGTTTTGCTATTGTGTTTTCATTTTATAAGAGTTATTAGCAAAGTTTTTAGCATACAGTAACGGGGTCAATAGGTAATTGTGACCATCGACTCATTGTTAATGGCGATGTGGTGAAATTATTTTTTAAAACTAAAGGTATCATGTGAAATTGTGGTTGTAGCTAATACAACTCTTTTGATATGGCGATGTTATTACTTAAGGATTGTCAATCGTTGTTACAATGGTTTGGTTGTTGATTGTTACTCGTCCGACTGAGGTGCGCTACAGAATCTTTGATCACTACATTGTTGTGACATCGAGATCTAGATTGTAGTACTATAAGTTACACGGGATTTTTCGACTGCCGATGTGGTGAAATTATTTTTTTAAACTAAAGGTATCATGTGAAATTGTGGTTGTAGCTAGTACAACCCTTTTGATATGGCGATATTATTACTTAAGGATTGTCAATCGTTGTTACAATGGTTTGGTTGTTGATTGTTACTCGTCCGAATGAGGTGCGCTACTGAATCTTTAATCACTACATTGTTGTGACATCGAGATCTAGATTCAAAGTTGTTGTATATATTATCATCGGCTGGTTGCAATGCTCAAGCGAAGAATGGTGTCGTTGGACTAAAGGTTTGCTGTGAAACCGAGATTATCATCGAGCATCTCTCGGATTCTCTTGAGTTTGTAGTTCGTGTTCTGTAAATTGTTGCAAGAATGATGGAGTGGTATTAAATGTACAAGAGATTGATGCAATTCATGTTTAGCTGCTAATATTATTATAAACTTATAATTATTTTTTTGACTGTATTATTGTTACTGCTTGGAATTGAAGGCACGACTATAACATCTTGAAGACCCTCTCACAACAGTTTTAGCAACCTTCTTTTATCTTATAGTTTTTTAGTGTCACTTTTTTTTTTTCTATTGCTTTTTTAATTTGTTAGGCTTCTTATGCATAAGTGATTAATGGGGAACCCCACTTTCAACTCATGGCTAACGGGTCCAAACTGAAATTAGGGTTTGGGGGGTAAATGTTATGGGTTTTTTTTTTTTTTTTTTTTTTTTTTTTTTTTTTTTTTTTTTTTTT